TGCAAGACAAAGCAGAGCCTGCAACGGAAATTGTTGACAATTCTTATTCTGCTTGGAAATCTGTTTATCATATTTCTCAATTTGAATACTATTCTTTCATTTTTACTGCAACCTGGATCTTCTATAGGCAGAGCCAATGCAGTATTTACTACTGCAACAATTGTTCACAAAATAGTTTTACTAGTGCAATATGATCGTTTGGAAAATACATCGCAAAATCTTATAAGCATGTCTAAGAAACTGAATGTTAACCTTACCTCCACATTGAAATTGCGGATTTGGATCTGGATTACGCTTACTTTAGTTATACATTTGCCTATCGCTGTATCTTCTTTCATTGCACTGCGTTCATTTGGCTTAAAGAACTTTTTGTACGGTTTTAGCATAGAATCCGAACCCTTGAGGACGATTTTAGCTATGGTTTATGTTCTTGTTCTTATGTGCACTATGATTCCGCACAGCATATTTTCGATTTATTACACACTAGTGTGTTACAATATAAAAAATCTTCTTTCACACTTTTTAAAATCACTCACCATAGAAGAAACGCTTGAAGAAAATTTTCTTATAACTTACAGTTCTATAAAGGAACTTATCAGTGATACCGATGCAAATTTATCTCTATTAATGTCGATTTCTTGCCTTTTTAGTGCTTCGTGCTTACATTTTGGTGTGACTATGATCATGCACTACGAGCAATTCGCCTCATTATTAGCACAGATATCAACGGGATGTGTCATTGTTAATGGATATTTTATTTTTGTCATAATGACATCTGCAGCTGCTTCGCTATTTGAGACATCTGAAAAAGTTTACGACAGTGCACACTCACTTCTTCATCAAGGGCAACCGCTCTCTGTCAACCAACAACATTTCTTGTCAGTTGCTGCCAGATCTTCTTACATGACTGCTTGGAAGATTGTGCCATTGAAAAGAAACTTCATTGTAGGAATCATAGGAATAGTTTTTACCTATTCTGTGTTATTAGAAAGCTTGGAATCCTCACTTAAATAAATATATGTGTTTGCAACTTTTATTTAGCTCTTCGCTTTTGCCTTCCATCGTGTCTATGATCATGAATTATAAAGAATTTGTTGTATTAAAAAAAACTGATAACTACGTGGTGTGTCTTTGTAAACAGATATTTTATTTTCATGATAATGACATCATTCATTATCATGATATTCATTCATTATCATCAATATTTTAGGAGGAAGCTTACACACTTCTTCCTCAAGGACAATCTCTATTAATCAGCAACATTCTAGTCTGTTACTGTAAACACTAATAGCTACGTGCTGTGTCCTTGTAAATACACATTTCATTTTCATGATAATACCATCATTCATTATCATGATAATTGCATAAAAAGTCTGTTACAGACAGACCTTCTTAGACGACTGCTTAGAAGATAGTGCCATTGAAAAGAAACTTTATTTTAGCAATCATTGGAATAGTTTTTACCTATTCTGTGTTATTAGAAAGCTTGGAATCTTCACTTAAGTAAATATATGTGTTTGTAACTTTTATTTAGCTCTTCACTTTTGCCTTTCATCGTGTCTATGATGATGAATTATAAGGAATTTGCTGTATTAAAAAAAACTGATAACTACGAGGTATGTCCTTATAAATAGATATTTTAATTTCATGATAATGACATCAAAATTTTACGAGGAAGCTTACACACTTCTTCCTTAAGGACAATCTCTATTAATCAGCAACATTCTAGTCTGTTACTGTAAACACTAATAGCTACGTGCTGTGTCCTTGTAAATACACATTTCATTTTCATGATAATACCATCATTCATTATCATGATAATTGCATAAAAAGTCTGTTACAGACAGACCTTCTTAGACGACTGCTTAGAAGATAGTGCCATTGAAAAGAAACTTTATTTTAGCAATCATTGGAATAGTTTTTACCTATTCTGTGTTATTAGAAAGCTTGGAATCTTCACTTAAGTAAATATATG